GTGATGCAATGGCTGCAGAGAAAGCCTGTAGGCAAAGGCAGACCTGGGATGTGCGCTGAGAGGTGCCATACGCTTGCAGGAAAGTCACAGGGCAGAGGCTGAAGTTTTTTGATCACAGAAGACCACATCACTGTCCCTTCATGTGGGTAACTGGGGATCTAGTTAATAAAAGCGCCAAACCCTACTTGTGCAATGAAAGCAGCAAAAGCCCATTAGTGGGGATGCATTTATTTCAGTGCAAAAACACTCTAGCTTCATTGTAGTTTTTACTATACATAGGCCATTTATCAAGGCTGTAATTTATTTATCCTTAATGCAAATACAGCAGCTGGTATGGTATTGGGCTCAGTGATCCTTAGGGGTCCCTTCCAACTCAAGACATTCTGTGATTAGCAGAATGGAGTCATACACTGATACTGGTTATTCCTCTTTCTATAGAAGAACCATCTGCAATGCTGTGAGCGTCTTTATCACAGTATAGCTCTGTCAATACTAGGCATATTAGACAAAAACATAACCTCAAATGAAGTAAATGTTCCAGTATAAAATTTGTGTGGACTAGGCTTAGAAAAGCCTTGGGAAACATCCAAACAAAAGTTTCTTAATTTCGAGCTAAGGACAATAGCCTACACATCCCTCTGGTGCAAGCTGTAAGAAGCAAGAAAGCAAGCAGTTAAGGCACTCTGCTCACTCACCAGTTCCTCTTCCTCGCTGTAACTACTTCCTTCCCGGCACTTACAGTTCTCATATCACTTTACTCATTCTGAGTATCCAAGGCACAGTCTGGCATCTGGCCGCACATTTGTTACATCAGCACACACATCCTCATTTCATTTCCCTAATTTCTGTATTAAAATTTAATATAAAATTCAGACAAATAGCTAAGTCCACGGACCACCTGCTCTCATATTTTCCTAAACAGTTCAAAGAAAGCAAGCATGTCTCACAGTCATGTTGGCAGAGTGCCTTGCTGCTGTACACCAGCACCAAATCACAAAACGTCATATGATTGTAAAGTTTGGAAACCGTCTCAAGCACACGGCGATCATCAGACCACGTCATGAGATCACCAGTCAACTGGATCGGAGCTCTAGAGTGATGCTGCTTACTCGGTATGGGGTACAGATGCACGGGCTGTGGTCGGGGGGGCGGTGATTAAAGGAACTGAGGTTTAGAAAGGGGAACTGATGATTGGCGTGGAGAAAACTGACTCATACGCTAAATCTTTTTCTTTCTGTAGTTTAAACCACCGGACTGTGCAGTCTAGAAAGCCTGGGTCGAGGTGAACAGTAATTTGAATGATTGTCCTCTTTCATTCATGCAGGTATGAGTAATGCATGACATGCCTTGTAAGGGACAGTGAAGAACTTAGAGGTGATTGGCACAGTCCCAAGCAAGGTAGAATTTTTTCATCCTCATAAAATAATCAACTGCTTTGAATTTCAAATGTCAGCTGCACCATTTTGGTGAGCACCCGAAGGACCATCTCAATAACTCCAAGTTGAATGCTGCAAAACCAAGGGACTCGGTGGAGGAAAGGGTCAGATGGAGGCTGCCCGTCCAACCCCGCCTTGCTTCCCTCCCTCCTGAATGTGCTCTGTGGCACCATGGTGCAGTCACAGCCTCTGTTCTCATCCCAGAGAAGCCCAACAGGATGGATGACAGGGACCAGCTTTTTGATACTTGTTCAGAAATGGCCCTGGGCCATCATTGCTGCGCACCTTCTGCGCCTGTCATGAAGACAGTTAATAGTTTTATCACAGGTTTTCTGAGGTTGTTCATCACAGTGTTATCCATGTGTATACATGCCAGGACACTCTAACAGGAGGGAGAAGACCCTAGGGGCTGTGGATGTGCACGTATGTCTGCAAAAGTAGGTGCATGGGGGAGAAAAGCCATGCCAGCACCCAGGTTTTGTCAGCCCTCACAATCCTGCTGTCCAGGGCCACCGCTTCTCACTGCTTGACCCAAACTCCCTTTCCCCATGACCTTCTTCAGTCACTGCGCGTTGGGCACCCTCTGCAAGAGGCTCCCCTGGACACTGGTATCCCCTGCTCCCCTGGGCACTTCGGTCTTGTGTGTTGAATGAGCAAAAAAAGTTTATGTAGGGAGAAACACCAGCCGACTCCCTGCTTAAGACTGCCTAAGATCTCCATGTCGTACCCCTGCGTATCCATACCCGTGATGGACACTGCGTCATGCTCGCAGAAGACGCCAAGGTGGCAAGAAAGCCGCTGGGGGGAGGTGACACACTTCCAAAAGTCATTAACTCACAAAAGCAGCCAGAATAAAGACAGCGCTGGAAAGGGAAATGTTAAAAAAGAGCCGCTGAACCCAAACCTGCAGGTCCTTATCTCCCAGACATTTCGAGTGTAAAATCGCCCTGGCCTCCAGCTGTTTCAAGACGGCATGAGTCATATCCTTGCTAACTGGAATGCTTAAATCGAGCTTGTTCAGCATTTGTTACGATGGAAGGAAGTTAGTTAGTAATAATAGGAAATGGAAACAATGGGCCTTGGTTTTTTAAAGCCATGTGCTTCAATAACTCTTTTCTTAAGTGGTCTGAAGCAAATGCCTATGTACCATTGTAGTGGCATGCTTGCTTCTGCTAACCTGGAGAACAGCAAGAAATACTCTTTATCCATGTAACAGACTGTATGTACGTAGCTGTACACATTCAACTACTTCTGTTGTCACCCGAGCCTTTCCCATGCCTTTCCTTGCCTTCCAGCCTCTAGGGAACTGTGAGTGAGAGCCTCCGGCTGCGCTGGTGTTTTGCCCAATACAACTGCAGTCGTCAGGCTGTAGTCAGAAGTTACAAAATCGAAAGTTTCACTGGCAGTTGAACTCAAAACCTGAAACTGGCTTCCAAGTTCTTGGGCGAAATACAATGTAAAAACATCTTTGGAATAATTGTATAAAATGCTTTTTTACAGTGCTATACTTACCATGGACCTAGCTAGGAGAACAATTTAAGGTCTCTCCTTAAGGAACAGAAAGACACAAATCATGTTATCTATTTGGAAAATACAGCATAAATATGAAAACCAAATATTTTCTTAAAAAACTTAATTTCAGCTATTGAGTCAGCAGAGCAACACAGTTCAAAGTAAGACCGAGAGAAAAATTCTGCATATCAAAATTGGAGATTTATCGAATATGAAAGTGTTTATCATTATTATGCTCTTGATAAAAGAGTCAAGAGATGAATGATAAATACAGCAGTTACCTCTCAGAAGACTGTTCTAGTCATTTTTACTCTTTGCAACATTTGAATGATTTTCTGGGTTATGTTGAGTTTTCTGCACTTTAATTTCACTTGCCTATGAATATTTTTGGAAAATTCCATTTCTCTACCCTCCTGTCTTTGAATCCCATTTCGCTCCTATTTCCCTCCCGTCTTCGAATCCCATTTCACTGCTATTTTTTCTTTCAAAATTCATTTTCAGGAGATAGATACTTTAATTTTTCTTCCTTGGGACTTCTATTTCAGTTTTACTCGTTTGGATTGTGATGCAATTTCTCTGAGCCTCTCTTCTCAGGCACATGAGCATCCATGCTGGCAGGCAAATATATTGATACAAAGCAGTCATTTTTTACCTTCACCATAACAAAAAGTAGGAGGAAAATTTGATTGCAAATAGCCACAGTCCAGATTAAACACAGAACTCTGACTTCAGTTACTTTGGGACGTGTTAAGAGTTCCATATTAAGCCAGGCTGGTAGCTGGACCACACCACAGATTTGATGTCTGTACACCTGTAAAAATGTTTCCTGAAGACTTCCATATGGGTCAGTCTCTATAGGTTAGAAAAGCCATATTCCCTGGCTCCTCTCAAATCACGGTGTGTCAGAAATGATGCTCAGCTTCCCTTCTCTACATAACTTTGGTTCTCCCTCAGGTCTTTCTCAAAAAGTATGATCTGATATTATTCTGACATCTAAAACATATTGGCTGCACTTAAATAGAAAATTTCAAGGTGAACAAATTTACCTGTAAGTGAAGTTCTATTGTCTGATCCATCTGCGCCCAAAGCCAATCTGCTAATGAAATATTTACTTTGTGCAGTTTCCAATGAATTCACTGAAATCACCAAACAGACTGGTGACGTTTTCAAAGCCAGATAGCAAAATCTGTGACTAAATCAACACATCAGTTCTGAAAATGACAATGCTGTTGTTCAAAACACATAAATAGAGAAAAAAAAAATATATCCCAGATTATGCAGCACCCTGTCCCCAGAGCAAAACTCCGAAATCTGTACAGGGCATGTTTGCCATCGGCCCAAAACTCAGACGAGGCTTTTCCAGCACTCCCAGGCTTGACATCTCAAGTGTTTTTTATTCATGGTGGGTTTTTCCTCTCCAACTTTCACAAGATATAGTGAAAATTGGACCCTCAGATAACAACATGCTCTGAAAGAGGAACAAATTTAGCATTACACTGCCCGTGGAGCATCCCAGCAGAATGCACATGCCTCAGAGTGGTGATTTCCCCTCATGTCTCTGCACTGACCAGGGTAAGGCAGCAAGCAGTCCCGGACACGTACTCTGCCCCTGCCCTGGCAGCTCAGCAGAAGTGGAGACAGGGTTGTCCTCTCCTGCTACCTCCTCGTACTCTCCTACTGGAACGTCAGGTGCTTGTGGTAACGCAGAGCCCATTTTTGTGCCTGTGTTGCAGGGAATACTGTAGGTAGTTAGCACAGAGAAATTACGGGGCAGCCAGAACATTTTGGTGCCAAAAGACTTCCCCAGGAATTGTTCTGGTTAACATAAAATCCCATTTTTATAATAGATTAGTGATAATAATCAAAGCTAAAGTTCTAGTGGAAATCTTAAGTTCATAGTTTTCAATTACTAAGACACAATTACTAAGAGACATTTCAGTACTAATGACACATCAAGTTGAATTCCAGCCTCATGAAGATGTAACAAGCTGCATCTGTCAAGCTGAGTTAAAAATACAGGGTGATTTAAGAACATTCAGAACATAGAATGGCTTTTCTGTATCCGCTTTTAATGAAAAAAATACTGTATGAATAGAAATGGAAGTATAACAAAGAATTTTCAGTTGATCTAGGAAAATACAGGGATAAATAGAGCATGTAAAACTAACATTTTACTTCCAGGTTATTTGTGTATCACGGAACTCCTGTCACTACTTACAGCCACTTATGTTTCAAAACAGACTGGAAAATAAGAACAAAATATCCTCACAGTACTTTCACTGACATATTCTCAGTTGAAACTACGATGGTAGTATTCATATATTAATTTTTCATTTCTTGCATGCCAAAAGTACAATAAAAAGACTCTCAAGCTATCTTTACACTTGAGGAAGGAAAGTTTGATCTTGTCTGTTTCCTTTTAATTTCATAACTTGCAAAATATTACTGGCAGTACACTCACTTGATAAAAAATAATTATGTTACTTCAATGTGCAATTTCTCAGATTTTGTACAACAATGTAAAGTTGACATGGGACAATAAAGTATAGTTTTTACCCATGAGGAGATCCGTTTTAAGATAACTTCCAAACACTTTAGGCATGAGGAAAATAATTTAAAAAATCTTCAGCAAACTAAAATTAACATACATGTATTCCATATATTAACATTGTCCCTGCTGTATGCCTTAGTATGGTCCAAATTCCCAACACAGAGACTATTTATATCATTTTCTAGTGTATCCATATCTTCTTAAATTGGAAGAAATATGTTTAGAAAAGAAACCTGATCTACTAGAACATATAATGGGGATAGGTTAAGTTCAATTATGTTGCTTGAAATAAAATATCCATTATATAATGGATGAAATATCCATTATATTAAGCTACTGGCTGGCAAGCATTAAACCAAATATAGACTTCTACATACTCTGTATCTGTAGTAAAGTATTATAACATATTAAACAGACCTTTATTTTAAAATCTCTTTCCAGCACAGGACCAATCCTGTATTAACTGCCTCACATAAGCTAGTTGAGAGTTATGAGGACCCCTGTCTTTTTTGGTACTGTATTCTGAGCTTTTCCAGTTGCTCTACACACTGTGTCTGGGCCAGCTTCAGTGTTCGGTTCTCCTCTGTCAGTTCTGCGTACTCCTTAGCCAGCTGAGCAGCATCCATGCTTTCTTTTTCCACTTGTTCCAGCCTGGCAATCAGCTCCTTTCTGATGATTACGAAAAAACACAAAGATTAAAAATGGCAGGATGCAAAAATGCGGTGTTGTGCGTTAGGTTAAAGCTGTACTACAGGTTGTTAACATGATATTATCTGAGCTGTTGTAAAACAAAAGTCGAGAAAACTGATTTGTTAGATTCTTTCTTTTTCTTTTAGAAGATGAAGCTGACAAAGTATGTGACAGGTTTGCTGTTCAGTGACCAAACCTGCAAAATGCCGAGGACCTTCCAGTATCTCTAACTTCAGTAAGAGTGGAACAGAGTGGAACTTGGCAGTTCACAGTGCAGAATTAAGCTCCTGGAGATCACATGCTAATATTTTGTCTGAAGAAGAATAATTTTTTTTCCCTCAACATCAAACGGATTTGAAAGAGAGTGAGATTTTCTTTTTCTTCTGTTCCTTAGCTTTATTGGCAAATTCTGTGAAGTACACCTGATTTCCTTTCCCCTGCTACAAAGAAAAATGATTCTAGTAAATACTAGGCACATGAATCTGAGCTACATATATTTTTTCTATAATGTGTTTATGCTCTGACCTTAGCCCTACTGCTGAGGAAGAGGGATAGAGCTGCAAACCTGACCCCTCCTGGTCTTTATAAGAGCAGACACAGGAGAATTCAAGCTATTGCTTCTTTCTGGATGGAGTCACATGGTGCTCTGTATTCCCAGAGCCAGCCTAGAGTTTCCTGTATAGTATCAACTGAAATTACCTCAGCATAAGTTAAGATAAAAGAGGTCTTAGAACAAAACACACTGAAGGCATGAGTAACTCACAGGGTATCTAATCACTCTCCACTTAGCTACCCAGCAGGCTAGCCTGGCCCCTCTGGTTTTTTTTTTGGTTGTTTTTTTTTTTTTCCCTTTAAGTCAAATCATGTATTCACCCCAGCTACAGGAAGTCTCTTCTAAAAGCTTGTTAGTTCTTTTGATCATTCTATCTCACAGATTAGTTAATCTTCAACTGTTCATAGCCCTGTGACTTTATTTCTCAGTCATGTCAAAACAATGCTTGTACATCGTCAGTGGGAAGATGTAATGCCTTCAAAGGAGATAGCTTTTGCTGCAGTTTTTAAAGGAGCCCTCTTGTCAAGCTAGACCAGTGCTTTCAGACAGGAAACTCCTACAGATCAGTAATTCTATAGCCACAGGTCAGAGTATTCATGAAATGATAACATTTCAGTATTTGCTGATCACTTACATTACTTATACCTGCAAAACCACCACTTACAGCAGCTGGGTTTTGAAAAACAATGCTATGTGGCCTTCATTTAGGATCAGTTTGATCCTCCTATCTTTACTACAGCTTTTAGTGATAGCATGGTTTGTCCATGGTTTAGCTGCCTGTTTACAGTCACAGTTACTGCAGTTCAGAGTCACAAGTTAGAAGAGACCCCTGACACATTCATTTCTCCCAACTGTGTTTCCCATACAAAAAAAAAAAAAGGGAAGAGTTAGCAGTCATTATAGCAATTTTAAATCATCCCAGAGTTGTAGTATACAGAAACCCTCCTGTAGCTAAATATGTCTGCTTTGTTTTATATCACTGAGGTAATGCATAGCAGCTATACTGCAGCAAAGCCTCTTCTCTTTCCTTTCACCAGGTGAAAGTTATATTCAATCAGGTCTTCAAGAGAAAATATCACGAGCGTATTTTTGTTCAGCAGAATTCTATTAACATTTGGCACAATATAGTCATCAAAATTTCAAAAGCAGCAAGCTATTAACAAATTCACATCTCTTTGCTTGGGCCATGCTAGATCAACTAATTTTCAAACCGGCCAAGACGAACTGATCTTGCTAGACAGTTCGATATTCCAGCTCCAATTAATGGGACTATAAGCCACAAAGGAGTAATTGCATGTGTGCTTTAGAGAGTGAGAAATGCATTTAGGAACAATGAGATTTTACAAGTCCAGCAGCTTTAATCGCTTCAGTCTCTTAGGGCTTCCTCTTGAAGAATTTTGTCTCTCAGTACCAAAAGAGAGCTTCAGCAATATTTCTTTGCAATTATTCTACTGGTGCAATGCTGGGCTGAAGGATTAAATTAAGTTCTTTCAAATTACAGACTGTTGACTCAGAAGTGTTCCTAACAAATTAAGTCAGCATCATTCTTCCTTACTTTTCTTACACTTATGAGGTTCTTAAAGGGAGATGTAGTGAACATACTAATAAGTAATCAGCATCTTAAAAGCAGGTAAACCTTTTCCATGGAGATTTCAATAGTAGATGTAAAAGAAAAGTACTGACTACTCTATTTGGACTTGAGCCAGGAGTGGCAGAGGCAGACACTGTGAAAACTCAGACAGCTCTGTTAATGAATGTCAGTCCTGATTTGATAAGATGAGGCTACGTGCAGGCATGGTTTTCGTGCTGCTCTCTAGTAATACTTAAGCAGCACAGAGAACATTTTTTCACCTCCTGGGATTTGGCTTTGCTATTAAACAAAATAAAAATGCATTAAGATCAAAATATGCTTATTGCTGTAGTCCACACTCTAGGACCTCCCTCACAGAAAGTAGTTTCATTGCACGGAGGTAGTAAAATTGCCCACTTCTGAGTCAGCAGAACCTACTTATTCCCTTCCCATCAGGATCAACACCTGTTTACAGGGTAGGGTGATGTTTCAGGCAAATAGTGCCAGCCTGCCACAGAGATCTAAAATTAGAGTACCAGGGAATTGCTAAATGTTATGAATGGTGTGGTTTACGAAGCTCACAAAAGGATGAGGACAGTAACTAACATTTGCTTCTGATCTAATCCAGGATTTTAACGTTGCTTCCAGAGGTTAAATAACACTATACTAAGCTCTTGCACCATCTAGCCTTTGTTACGGACGCTTAATAAATAGATCTAGCACTGTATAATCTGTATTTTCTGTTAATGGTTACCCTGAGATTAAATATTAACAGCATTGATAAGGTATTTTCTAAAACAGTGCTGAGGTACTTGAAGTTTTGAGACAATCTGTTATGTACACTTTAAGTATCCTTTTTTGGAGAGGGGTTTGGGTGGGGAGGGAAGATGAATGCGATTTGCATCATAAACCTATAAACCACAAGCCATGCCAGCGCAGGAGAAAAACTAAGCATGGTCTTAGGGAAATTATTTCTCTTGTCCTGGCCTTAATGATTGACCATGCAGAGAACAGAGTACCTTTACAGTAGTATTCACAATGAATAAATACAAAGAAAAGTGACAGATGAAGCAGGTAAATCTATCTGGAGGTAAGTGTATCTGGAGATGGACTGGACTCAAGGAAAACAGCTTCTACAGTGCAGAGAGGCAGACTTATCTTCCTCCTGTTGTGAACAGGATCATGCACCTGTGGTACTACACATTTCTTCCCAGCTAAAATGTGTGTATGTTCTGGTGGCCATAAGGTCATTTACTCTTCCCATATTTGACACGGCTTTCACATCAGGAGGAATCATGAGACCTTGTAAGGTAATTGCTGTCTGAGGAGACTGCCCTTGCAGGTTCAAAGTCTACAAATTAATTTTTAAAACAATGAACTAATTTTTAAAACCATGAGACAGCCTGTTTTAATGTAACTGAAAATATGTCTTGGATGCCAGCGCATAAAAGGTCTGTAAGTATTGATCACTGCAACAGGGCAAGTCGAGGTTTCTCCTTGTATTAGAAAAGCTGGAATGTCCACTATTCGTCAAGTAACGCGTATTTTGGATACATGTGAGATGATGAAAAATCAGGTCTAGAATGAGAAAAAAATATATTGAGATAAAAGCTTGCCTTTATGGTTTACATCAATCTTTTTACACTGAACCTTAAAGTCTGAAGACTACTTGTCTCAACAGTGTTGGGAAAGACACTCCAGAAATAGTGTACCTGGAGAAACCATCTGGACTTGAGACCTTTGAAACAGTCCTATGGTCATGCCAAAGCATACAGAAGGATCCCACAAAATTAAGCAGACATCTCCACTGCATGTCTACTGTAATACATGTAAAAGAAGGAAAAGAAATCATATCCATGGCAAAGAAAAGGAGTTAACCTAAACCAGGTGGTGATCAAATGATATTTTCTGGAGAGTTATATTAGAATTGTCTGGGGGAGGAAAAAGAGAAAACCAGCCAGTGCTAAGAATATAAGATACAGCTAGCAACCATGGCAACTCTAATATTTAACTACATAATCCAGAGTCATTATCTAGTAATAGCAATATAACAAGTGCTCAAAATAACCAGCCATCCCATCCCTTTCACCCAAACTTAGATACCCAAAAACATCTGTTATGGAAATAACATGTGTGTTTCTGGAACATAAATTAAATTACATTCTGTGACCTAAATGTGGTGTGCTCTCGCTTCCACACCCTTTTCTTTCTTTTCGATCATGTCACCCATTCCAGAGTGATTTTGTCCTTTGTACTACATATTGCTGGCATAAATGGGAAGAGTTTGAGTGAAGACAGCAAACAAACCTATGATGTTCTTCTACCCAATGTTCTTTTAAATTCTTTCAATTTCTTGCTTCCTTTCGCTTGTCTTTTTCCTGAGTAACTTCTTTTCCTCTTCTTATTTGCTTCGTCCTTCGATTTTCTCTTTTTTGAACCTGCAACCTCCCTTTCTCTCTCATTTCCCATTTTCCTGTGAAACAGTTGTTGTCTTCTCTCCCACTCCCCGCCTAGTACATTCTCTTGCCATCTACATTGCGTACAAGAGAAAGGGGCAAATAAACTCTGTTCTTGCCCTGATGAAAAGCAGCTCTTGTCATTTCACACCATTGCCTTTCTGTACTTGGGCTATATTGGACCCTCACACTACAGTGAGAGACATGTCAAGCTAAGCAGAATTAAAAGCCTTTGAAAAGCTGCAAAGGAGTAAATGTTTTTGATTATTTCAAAACAATGTTATTCAACTTTCTATTTCTTAAAGATGCTTCGTTTAGAAATATACCTTCATGTATTATTTCATGTTTAAAAGGTTACATTGAACTTTGGAGGTTGGAACAAAAATTGTTTAAAGTAGAATGAAAACTATTTCATTTTTTTGTTTTACTAAAAAGCTCCAATACCTGTACTGACATTTGTGTCAAGTTAACATTATTTCTTCCTCCTAGCCAACAAATCTGCTTTTTTTCTGACAATCATTTTGGTATTCTGTGTGCACAGTGTCCTACCAGTAGGCACCACAGGTGCAGACACTGCCAGATGGGACTTGACATTTTAATTCCACAGGTGAGTTGATCTGTGGAGAGGAAGTCTGGAGTGCTGGCAGGGGCACCATCCAACAGCACTTCTGGTTGACTTTAGTAAAAATGTACACTGAAGAACACAGCACAGATTGTTTGTTCCCATTACAAGGGATGAAAATCTTATCTTTGTCCATTTTATCAAAATAATATTTTAAATTAATAGACAATAGATAGCAGGTGTATTAGGCAATTGTGAATCTTTATTTCCATACAATCAAATTCAAATGTAGAAGATCAAGACACCTGCAACAGGGGTAAATTTCAGAAAGCTGGAAACAACTCCATCTTTTCAACTGGATTATAACTGCTCTTGAGCCTAAAAGCTGTGGATCTCATCAGACTTTTTAGAGAAGTCAAAGCATCCTTCCCTTCTGAGAATGGAATATGTAATACGCATGCCACCCTAGCCATTGTAACCCACTCTTCTCCTCTTCATTCAGCATATGCTACCCATAAACTTCCTTTAACTTTCAAACTGTAACTGTTGAGAATGTTTTTAGATATAAATCAGTTCTCACTAGACAAACACTCTTTTACTTCTTGCTTACTCCTTTATCTCCACACTTATACTGCCTTTTGATCTAGTTTTATATAAAAATCAAGGTTAATGTGTTCAGGTTGTGTATGCTTACATGTATGTAAATGTACATGTGTCCTAATAACTTTTTAATCCACCTTCCAATATCAACCAAACTTCATGTGGTGAAGAGGTCCCAGTTAGTTTCTGGATGGTTTTATAAAAATATACTGCTACAGAAAGGAAAGACACACCAAAGGCGAAAGGCAGTATCATGAGACCTCCTCCAAAATACTACAAAATGGAGAATCTGCCTGGAGTAAGAGGTCATAAATAGTTCCCACCTGGAGAAAAAAAAAAGCTTCAGTTGTCACTTGCAGCCTTTCAAACCTCAAAATCAAGTAACCACAGTGACCGACCTGTAGGAAATTAAGCATCTTCAATCCCAGTGCTTGTAGGACCAATTCTTCAGAGTAAGAGATTTGGAAGGTGGTGAAAGGTGCTGCACTGGTATTTGTCATGTTTAGGCATTTTACAGCTACAGAGCATGTGAATGTCTAGGCCACAAATATGTAATTAGAAGGCACATAAAAATCACAATAATATAATTCTATTTGCTGCCTTATTCAGCCACTCTTGGTTTAACATATGTTTACCGGGGCATGAAATCCATCCACAGAACAGGTTCAGCAAAGGTAGCAGTGGAGTCAGCTTCCTCACATTGTTCCACTGTTGACATCCACTGGTGGAATGAAGCAAAATGACAGCCTGAAGCCCTTTAATTCATGCAGGATAACCACTGCTGAGAGGCTGACTTCTGGGCTCAGAGGTTCATTAGGATAGTTTTGAGCTCAGGTAAACAATTTTGTGCATGTATCTGCCATTCCCAAGGAGCAAAATATTTCTAATTCAGTTAGTACCACAGACTCCATACATAAACAAAAATACATTCAAACAGCATATTTTTTTCATTTCAGTAAATGCAAAAATATGTTTGTCAGTCTAGTTTCCAGTCTATTAGTAGACCCTAAAACCCAAAATATCTAAGGCTATCTTTTGAGTTTATATGTCTAAAGTTTAGCACTTAAACAACCATTTAATATTTTATATTCAGTTTGGATTTTCAGAGAAGACAAACACACATGGTTTTCACTGAATTCACTTGGTTGCTAAATACATATGTAAGCAGCTTATACTAGACAATCAAATTTAACAAATCGTTGCAAAACTATTTGAATTAAATATCTTCTCTACATCTTTTTAAAAACACCAATTACTTTTGATTGGCCAAGTTTATTAATGATGAATTGAATGCAAACACTGGGACAATGTAGTGTTAATCTCTTCTGGTTGTTTTTTCTTCTTTCTTAACTTTTGTGCTAGTCTGTCAGCAACTAAGTGCCATGCAGGTCCTATAGTCGGAGATTTGTAGTGAGAAACCTCAACTAGTTCCAACACTTTAGGCAACAACTAACTATATTGTGCCTGTAGCCATCAACCTCAATAAGGACAAGTCTCACTTTCTCACCCGGCATAGTCTGGATCCAAGGAAATCTTTGGCTATCTTACATGTAACGCTACAAGATTTTACCAGTTCCCCTCCCACCAGCTTGCTCCTGCAGCTCAAGACTCCCATAGATACAAACTTGGCTGAACTGCTTGGTCAGCTGTGTGAAGATTGCTACGAAACCAATACAGTGGTCCGCCTTCTACTCAAAGCCCACTCTTCAACAGAGCTCTTTTGACCCCTGTTGCTGTATTACAAATGTTTCTGTTCAAATAGCATTTGGAAGAATGATGGTGTGGTCTTCATTTTCACAAGCAGTCTCAGAGATTGACACTGAGGTAACTCTCCTTGAGGAACACAACACTGCTTGAAGTCACCTTCAATGTGAGTGTAAAAATAAAAGAGCAATTGAAAGAGAAAGTTTACTTAGCAGTAACTGTTATTCCTTGGGGTCGGTTGTCTGTTAAAAAACTTTCACTACTCACCCTCTTTCCTCTCTCTGAATTTCTCAAGTTTCTTGTGGAAAGGGACAGAGAGTCAAAGAGTGCACTTTGCCATTTAATAGTCATGCAAAGATGACAGGGGTACAAGCACAGCTCATAGACAAGAAGAAAAGTCTCCAGCTTATGCACTTTAGATATGAACACCTGAAATGTCTATGTATACAGAGACAATGCACCCCACAGAAAAATGTCTATTAATATTGTCAAGTACTCTAAAACTAACTGAGGATCCCTTATGCTCTTCAATAAAATGTGTACAGTTAAATTGAAAAAAAAAAAAAATCCTAAAACTAAAAAGGACACTTGTACCAGCTGAACTAGATTGTTATGTGACCTGGAGGCTGTCCATGAAGGGTTTAAGGGACATCTGCATACCTGAGGGCCCAGCGCTAGGACAGCTCTGCGTCCTTAATGGTCCCAGTTGATCCTACAGACCAATGGCCTAACTGCTGTGCTGTACTGTGACCATCAGGCAGAGGTATAAGGTCAGAAAATATCATATGAAACCCTCATGTTTAAAACAGGATTTTACAAAGAGACCATACAATGGTAAATACTTTGGGAAAGTTACTTACTTTCTTTCTTCCAGTAGAGCAATTTCTTTCTTGACCTCATGGTACTCTTCTGCTATTTTGCAGTGCTGTTTGTACACTTCCATAGATTCCTTAGAGTCATGACAAGGAGGCAGCGGCTTTAAGAAAAGAAGAAGAAAAAAAATTTATGTATACTGCTTTTGCATGATGTATTAGGAAAAAGCATGTGTTTTGAAAGATACTATATTTATCTTAATTTCTGTGAGAACACTTAAAGATATGGCCAAATATTCCTAGTGATATTTCCATTTTCACAGAAGGGAAAAAAACACTTCCCTGCATAAGAACATGCGCAAACCTTCAAACTGTGTAAGGATTTTCAGAACTTTCCTTTGTCAACTTTGCAAAGTATCCCTAAAGATTGTCCAAAGAAAGATTTCTCCCTTACCTCCCTCTTTTTCAGCTACAGTGATATAAGAATGCTAAAGTTGATGCATTGGTCAGACCCATAAAATACATGAGCGTGTTTTCACTGCAGAAACTGCAGCAGTGGGCAGAAGGGTAATTTGAGTGCAAACAAGCTCTTATTCTCCAGTTCTGCAAGATGAGAAGAAAAGACACGGAAAGCTGTTGACGAAACACTTTTTTTTCGTAGATGGAATGCTTCCTTCTCTTCCTAAACGAGACAGGACTGTGAATTGGGACACTGGGGCTGATTCTGCTGGACTCAACAGGAGTTTTACTGCTGACTCCAGTGCAGCCAATATTTCACGATGCGTTCTATCCCAGCAATGCCTCAAACTGCAAGTAGTTTGCTCAAGATCATACTCAGTTTCTCTGCATCCCTATTTCCTGTAGGAGGGGATACAGCTATTTAGCAGAGTTAAGTCAGCTATATTTGCAAAGTGCTTTAAATTTCCATGAGAGGTGTAGGTGAGATTGAGAGTAGAAGGATGATAGCAAATAAAAAATAAAAAAAAAAACAAAATAGAGAAAAAAGACACAGTGAAGGCAAAAGCACTACACTTCCTAACCTAAATACCAACATTATTGCAGTAAAATTTTAATTTTTTTTTTTAATGTACACTGGAGGTAGTAAATATGGCAAACAATACTAGTCTGTCCTGGCACTCCTCATATGAATTTCAACGAAGATCTTGAAAATACAGTTTGGTTTAATGTCGGTGCTTTTTGTTCTTTAAAAAGAATGCAACTTAATTCAGACTTCAGGCTTGACTGCCACATTTTGGCTGTAATACTTTCAGGAAGTGTAGTATTTTTAAGTTATTAGCCATGAATCAATTGACTGTAAATGAACTCCAAATAGCATGCCTGAGCCACCTGTCTGAAGCAAAAGGAAGCACTCAAAATAGTTTCTTTACTGTCCAGTCAAAGAACATCGAATTGCCTTTCACAATATAAGTAGATCATTTTTTATTTCTTGTTGTCCTACTTTGACTCTTCTCTGTAGTATAATATTCCTTCCATGATGATGTTAGGAAAAGAAAAGGACAAGTCTTCAGATTTTTCCTATTTATGATCTTGTAAACCTTTGTTTTAGCTAAAATCAAAATTTAAATTTTACTAAACATATTCAGAGACAAAGATTAAAGATATTTTTATCCAGGAGGCAGGGTAAGTTGGCTTCATATGTACCCCAATGCAGGGATGTAACTAATGTATGGACCTTGCAAGTACTTGTAGATGGTACGTGGTTCCTCATTAAAATTTGAAACCAGACACTCATTTTTCATGTTATAAATGTAAAAATACTGGGGCAGAATTGTTTCACAGCACATTGTTTTATTCTCTCTGAGCTCAGAGAATTTAGGACCCCAGGGAAAGGGCAGTCCAGTACTTGATGGATCTGGTCCCTAGGAAAGGGCTTTTAATTGCATTTCAATGTGGATGAGCAATAGCACCATTCATATAGCCACCCAAATAATAAGCATAAATTTAACAAGACAGAATATAGAAGTCTCAGTGCTTTAATCCAAGAATGCAAGGGTGAGCCAAAGTAGCATCTCTGGTATCTACCAGAGATCAGCAAACAACAAATGCGTCACAAAAAACAATTTTGAACAGTACCTAAGGGGAAAGTCCCCAAACAGTGATACTTCAAAAGAAAAAAAACCCTTGCTTTTGCTTCCGACTTATTTTCCTCAAATCTAGCTGGTTTAAACCAGTTTAAATATTTAAGCAGCATTCAGTTTCTATATTCCAGCTTCCCACTCAAAAGATATATATAGAGAGCTAAAAATTATCTAGTCATGCTGAGACTTAGTATCTAATTCCCACTTAGAACCAGTTGCTGACTTTCAAACCCCTTCCTATCATTGTTTCCTCTTCAGTGTCATTTTTTTTGCATTGATATTTTATCACTCAAAATAAACTGACAATAAAGATACAGTTTAGTAATATTCTGTTCATACATTTTTTTTCAATCTTGTCTGATGCTATTAAGCACTGTATCAAGAACTTTTTTTTTAATTTTGAGTGTATTTTGACTTTTAAATGTAAATTTGATTAGATAACTGTACAATTTGGTTTGCTCTCTTGTAATTCTAAAATTTCTAAGAAAGGTTTTGGAGATAGTACCTACAGCATTCTACTTCTGGCCAGTAGGACATGAAACAGGCTTTTGTGCTCATTGTTTAACAAACATCTCTACTGCAATCACAAGAAAAAACGGTGAGATACAAGTCTGGTCAGTTCTTTGCTGGCAACCAGAAAATGCAAGCTAACACAAAAGCACAGAAAAATTACTTTACTCACATCTAACAGTCTACCTTTTTTACATAAACAAAAGCGCAAAGAAGTAATGATACACCTATTCCCACCAAGAGAAGTGCTTTCAGAAGATGGCAGGGCAAACTCCTGAAAAACAAATGCAGAAACAGAGGCAAAACTTGCTTGTTCCAAAGGAGTAACTCCAACTAGCCAGCAGACATTTACAGTATCAACATATTTCCACAGAAAAGAAAAGAAAACAATAACAGATAGTAAGAGTAACCGTTACTGGACTAGCCCATACTCATCTATATAGGAATGGGAGGAACCTGCAAAATCAGAAAGTCCAATTCCCTGTTATCAGAAGCAAATCCTGCAATTCACAGGCTTGGCCGGTTCTGTTTTAGAAAAACTGAAGTCCCCTGCCTCAGATATAAGACTGGCCCACAGCCTCATCAAGGATTAGAAACATTTTTGTCGTTTCCAGTTTTGTTGAAGACAGGTTTGTGTAGTCTTTTATTGTGCCAGCACTATCTTCCATTCAAATGGTGGTTCTTTGTCCTACCTGTTTTACTCCTCAGATGTGCTTACAGAGGGCTCTTCATATACTTTCGAAGACCATGTCTCAACAAAACTGCATTCCTCTAATCCATCCTAGATGAAATACCCGTTTTCCCTAGCTTATCCAAGCAGTCTTTCTCTGCTCCCCGTCCCACCCGGAATGACTTTTTTGAATGCCTGTGGCCAGGCCACAGGATGTGTTGCAGATGCCAACCTGATGGAATTCCCGTGGCAGAGAAAAAGAACTGGAATTCCCAGCAGAAAGCACTTTTCATCCATGAAGTCTGTGCACTATTTTTTTGATAAGAGTTTGCTAGTTTACCCAGGCAGCTAATTACAACAGACCTTAATAAAGTTCAATTTGCAGTTATACTTTTTTCACTCAGAAGCCAACAGCTATACTTTAATTTCTCCCTAGGACAACCCAAGCTTGTTAATTCTTGAAGTATCTTGCCTGTTATATATTAATATATATAAAAGCATACCTGCTACATAAGCAAAATACATCCCTGCCAAAGAAAGTTATATTTAATGGCAACAGTTGCTACTTTTAATCCTGCTTATTCCAGGCTTCAGTGTCATCCACCCTCATTTTCCTGTGCTGGCAAAATATGCCCACACAGCATCTCTGATTTTGTTCACAAAGCTAGTAGAAAAGCTACCCCTTTCAGTGATACTAGAGGTCTATCCTACTATGCCTGACTTTCAACAAGGTCTGATTTTTCCTTATATTTTGGTGAATAAGTCACTGCAATGTTGACAAACTTTCTACAGAATCCAGCAAGCAGACACTAGGAGATACTGCTATAGGCTATTTTCTAACTGCACAAACATATGTACATCTTTACAAGACATATGCACTGTTTATTTAGATTTTTGTTTGGAATCCAGATATGAAAGACGTCGGAAGATGATGTGCAAAGGCAGTTCATGAAGAAATAGAAAGAGCCTTAGTGGTTCTGCCTGTTTTTTAAGACAGGCTGAAGGAGCTGTTCTAATAAAAATGTTTGCTGAGGGAAACAAAAGGACAGTTTTCAGTAATTGTTTTGCTTCACTTACATGACAAAGTGTTTTGCTTTGCCATATAAATACTAGCATTCCATATCCACAAAAGTTGTATAGTTGATAGCATAACTCAACTGTTCAAAAACTTAAAAACACTTTATTTTTTAATTCACCTTAATTTGTTTGCTGAAGAACTTTTTGGTTCTACTGTGAAAGAAACAAAAACTTTCTCCTTAAAATGTTGAAGTTTTAAAGAAAAGATTTTGTGATGCAGTTTTGTCAGCTGAGCACATGGACTCATCTAGAAGGCAGTCTTTAGCACTGTTCTACTTCAGTAGTGGTGTCTCCCTTTTTGTAAATTTGGTAATTTTCAGCTAAATTATTCCAGAAAACAGGAAGTCCAGTGCCAATATTTTGCATGTGGCCCATGTTGATTATATGGCCTTGTGTACTCTTCTATAATGGAAGAAACCACATTATTCCAAGCAAAAGTGATAGCTGAATACATTGCAGCTACTTTTTGTTGTGCAACTGGAACTCTTCAACCATCTTCAGATATCGTCTTGGATATGTCTAGTTTTACTGTGAAAGTAAACAGTTCTCTTTCCTCCAAAGAATTCAAGTAAACTGGATGGGAAAAATTGAGAGTTTTGCTCTCCTTTCCTGAGAGATTTTCTATTATTTTCTAGCCTTAGTATGATGCTCTGACTTTGTAAACATCCATGTCTTACGTAATCTAGTATAACATCATAGTTATCACAGCAGCATTACAGGAGACTGATCAAGTTCACAGGCAACTAAATCTAATTATAGAGTATCACGGTACTCTAGGAATTCTCTTGGAATTTAATAATATTTTAAAAATACAGCATATCCTTTAAGAATACAGTATACTTTTAAACTTTCTAATATAATTTGCATGTGCCTAACGAGTCTTGGCAGTCAGTAGACGCAATAGTTCAATTATTAAAGTTCCAGAGTAAACAAGGTTTCTGCTAAATGCTTGTACAACACACAACAAACTGTCCCTTTCATAATATTTTCGTTGCTTTTTTTGTGTAGACATTTCCCACTAAAGCACGAAAAACTACCCCTTGACTTAACAAACTGGTATTATAATGGCTGGAGTCTCTTCTCTGTTGCAGCAATTTTACGGTCATCTAACTCCATTGATCTCAACAGATTTGTAATATGTTGTTGTCAAAATATGACATAAATGCCTCTCTCAAGCTCACGATTTCATGTGACTTGTGTTCTTCCCTCTTCAGAATCAAACTCCCAGCTGAAATAAAGACTTTGGCAGAGAAGAGGGAGATGGACGGAGCAAGTCACAGGAAACGCTGGAACAGGACAGACAGCACACAGAGTGTAGTAATGTGGGTACTTAACACTGGATACCTTCCTCTAGGTTCAGTGACCTAAACAACAAGGCCTTAGATGCTGATGTAGGTGTCTAAATATAGCAGATAACCCGTAGTAGAGTGTCTGTCAGAGGGGCCACCACCCACTATGCAGCTAATCACGGAAGCGCCTTCCAAGGCGCAGTGCAACTTTTACACAAGGTATAGGTTAACCTTTCCCAAAAAAACAAATGGACAAATGCAGCGAGCCTACCCTCGCTGCGCTACCCACCACGTTGCTCACACAAGGGCAGGGGGGAAATGACACTGAAGTCATTGAAATAAGCAAGTGCTTTATCCTCATTCAAAGTGTTGCTCGTCAGTGGGAAGAGAATAATTTCCAATACTGCAAACAAAAGGAATCGAAAACAAGAAGTTTATTAATATGAGCTTTGTGTAACATACCAGGAACTTCTCTGTAGTTTTTTTAATAATAAAGCTGCAAAAGAGACCAGGCTTTTCCTGCATATAGCTTGAACTGCTCTGTTCTCATATGTATGGCGTTTGTGTCTGGTTGACCATACATTACTTTTTTTTAAGTAAAAAAATTACTTTTTTTTGAGTAAAAAAAATAAAAGAAAAACTTTTGAGTTAGAGAATTGATATTATTTTCTTACAAATTGCTTCTTGGAATTTATTCTACTTAGAGCAGCAGAAAAATGTAACATTCAAAAAGGTACTTGGAAAAGATAACATTTTTGGTCTGAACCTAGCTAGCAGATCAGAACACTAGACTAATAATTTTTGTTCTTCAGAAAGAAGCTGTAACTTTCAACTAGGATTGTCCTCTAGTAAGAGTCCTTATAGAGAATTAGCTATTTGCACTTAGTCTCCTAGAAATATCTTTTCTGCAGCCAATCCTACCTCCACCTCTGTAAAGTTGGCACCGGTGCTTGGACAGCAGGCTTTATTACCCTGTCAGGGGAAGGCTGCACTGAACTTTGCCCTGCCATCGGACACCAGTGCCCAGGGAGTAGGTATGGTAGGATCGTGGTAGGAAAAGTGGGAACACTAGGTAATTCTCCTCAAACAGCCAAGTTGTCTGCCAGGACCTAACATAGAAGGGCAAGGGCTTGAAGCCTAAAACAGAGGTGCAAATTGCTTGGTACTCAGGCTGTGGTCTGCTGCCTGCATGCATAGAATTCTAAGGCTCTGATTTTCCAAGTCACTCAGTGAACTTACATAGCTTTGAAGCTGCTTTCAAAATCCAACCCGAAGATCAGCTAATTTGGCCTCTTTTTTTGTTTCGTTTTGTTTTCAAATTTTTCCTTTGTATGTTTGAGAACTGGAAAGTTCTTAGTTTGTTTTTTTTTTTAAAAAAAAGTTCCTATTATTATATAGCCACCTACCCTGCATTTTAATAGTTTGCTTCTTTAAATAAAATACAAATACTTTTGATTGTATTTATGGCATGGTGATGAAAATCTTGTGGCTCTAGATGTGATATTTTTATTATGAAAATACGTACCAGCATTCTTACAAATTCAAGCATTTCAGGCTGCTATGCCACAGTTGATTAAAGGGTTCGTTTACATGACACTTCATCTGTGCTGCTTTATACTAGCTAACTTCGGGATAGAGGAAAGCATGGCTGGAATGACAAGGGACACCACCATTCAGTACTTCTGCAGGTCCTGGTGAAGCCCATGTTGTAGTTTGCTTCTGTAACACGGAAGCTACCTATTTCAAAGATGGTATGGTTACGTTAACACAAACAGCAACCACAAGCTATACAGGGCTGACATACCCTTAGCGGTTTGGATTATAGCAATTTAAAAAAGTAATTAGTAAGAAAATGTAATTAGATAAATTATAACTTTGTTACAGTTATTGCTGTTTGAAATTTTTAAGCAGTATAAACATAATGTAATTACATTAAATAGTTATAACTTTAAGCTGTGATCCAGATTGACAAAAGCAATGAAATTCAAGTTTTCAGTGCTAAAGCTAAATGCACTGTTACCTCTGCATCAGCTCAGAACCCTGTGTTGACCTAACTGCCTCTCGCTGAACATAAAGGCATCTAAATATAAATATGCACATAAGCTTGAGAAGCTAAAGGATGAAGCACTACCACTAATTTCATACTTTTGAGTGGTTGAGTCAGCCAGATGGTTCTCACATGTTATCCTTTCAGCTACCTCAGTATCACCAAAGTTTCTAAAGGATAATAAAAAGAACATTATCTGAATCAAAGCCTTTGATTGTTTCTTCGAATTTGTTATCATATTGAGATCATGAGAGTAAAGGAAGGTTCTCTTCAAAAAAAAGTCAAGTACCTAACAGACCAAGAGGGTTTACTTACTGGAATGGCTCTAGTGCGTACCTAAAAAACTTCTACTGAAGGGCTATTATTTATCCAGCAGACTTGAACACTTTCGGAGGAGCAATTTTGATCTATAATGAAATTACACATTTAGAGTACATTGTATGTTACAGAAAAGGGTCATAAAAGTCCTAATAAAAAAATCATCACTTGGCCTGTAAAGTACCTACATCTAATGCTGCACTTTTGTTTTTATGTAGCAACAGCAGTAATGATAATCGTGCTTTGCTCTTTTAGAGCAGTCTTCGCTCCCTGATCTCAATGCTTTTAACAAAAAGGGTAAAAATTATTAACCTCATTTCAGACATAAGCAGAGGGATGAAGCAACTCCTCCAGGGTCACACAATGTGTCACTGACAGAACTGGAAACAGAAGGCAGGTTCTTTACTTTCAATTCAGTGCTTCAGCCACAAAACAATATTGCTTCTCTCAAATAGAATTCTGCTGAAGGAAAAAAAAATATCAATCGTCGTTGCTGTACTGGAAGATTTGTGGAATAAAGAGGCCAACACACTACACTTTTCCTTTCAGCCCAAATCTTAAGTCATTATTTGTTTCTTTAATCTTTCCTAGTTATGCCTAAAGAACCTGCCCCTATTCCCAGGATTAGAGGGACAGAGCAAGAGGAGTCTCTGTCATCCTCCATTCCTTCCTCAGTCATCCTTTTGATGAGAGCAGCAGGATAGAAAAGTCAGTACTTTAAGTCAGCAGCCCTCCAGTGTTGCCTCACTAGCTGATGGGGACAGGAAGGATGACATCACTCGACAACACGATCTGCTAATGCCTTTCTCAATTTACACTCAGGAAACAACTGCCTTCATATTGAAATATCAGAGGAAGTCTAAATGCTCCTGGGAAACAGATGATCTGAAGTAGTTTACAAAAGCCAGCAAACACTCCAGAACCGCCACAGAGGAAAGGGAAATAATCCCTGGATACAGAACTGGCTCTGTGCCTGGTGAACCACGGAGTTGCCATCAACTGCCATCTGATTGCCCAGTATATCGGGGCTCCATTGTGCTATGCTGACAAATAGGACCGGTCACAAAAGGATTCACCATTTTTATCCTGTGCTGTCTGCAGACACCTGCTAGGGCAACCGTCAGGGTTGCTGGCTACGCAGCACGAACTAGAGTGAGGAGGCTCTCATCAATCCTGATGACTGGCTTTAGATACCCAAGATTAGAGATAAGATGGCACTACAAAATATACCTTTGCATTCTCTTGGAATGCTTCAGAGAAAGCTGATCATATCAGTCTTAGCACAGCCCGTAGGCATGAGAATATAATACCTGGCTCATTCCTTCTCCCATCAAAATCACTAGGACTCTCTTCATTGCAGTGCAGCAGCATATGCTGTGTTTTGAACAGGAATTGTAAAAAAAAAAATAATACAAAAGCAAGTGAGATTGTTAAAATAGTCATTTCCCTGCAACTGGGTTAAAAATGTCAAATCCATTTTTCTGCAGATCTTGAAAAGACAATGTTTTCTTCTGTGGAAATATACAATCTTATCAAATGTTAATAGGTTAGAGAAGCACCACTGAAAACTTTCACCTCAGTGTAACAACCAGAGGATTTTTATCATAACAAATTGAGTAAATGTGGAGTAGAACTGTAATTCAAGAAAAAGTTTACCTGCAGCTGCTGGTCTAGTTCTGGAAATGCTGAAGGGAAGTTTTCAGAGGAAGCATCATCTAAAAGGTAAATATTATGTTAAAAGTCAACATCTACCAAAAAGAGCATTTCAAATGATCTTTCTAATGTAGTTCTACATTGCGTATATTCACAACAATATTGGGATCCTGCAAACACCTCCGCATCTGCTTACCTTTCTACACTTGAGATACCTTAATAGACTCCTTGAAAATACTAGTGGGTTGACGATAAGAAAAAATCAGTTGCTGGAAAGACAGAAAGCCTATTTTGTATTGCAGTGATTAAGAAATGAAACAAAGCCAAGTAGAGCAGTAGGACGTGATAATTTAATAAAAATGATAAATCCAAATAATCGTTCTTTCTGAGCTCTCCATTACACTGCAAAGTAAAGAACTTTCCAAGGACAGCATCCTTACTACCAAAGAGTTCATTACTTGACTGGAAGGAAAGCTATCTTTCCCATCACAATACAATGACTTACCAGGACTAAATCAAGAATAATAGAAATCTTTTCTCCCACCACCCAAAGGCAACCACAAGAACACACAAAGCAGCCTGGCAACCCTGAAACTAGAAGACTGTTACCTAGACAGATGTGATTAGAATGAGGAAGGCACCACAAATTTCTCCATACTGCAAAGAAACGTCTTTACTCTAACCTGTAGATAACAATCCTTATGGACTAGAGTTAATTCATCCACGACAACAAGCCGAACTGTGTTTTTATTTATTTATTTATTTTTAGTACAGGCTTCCTGCAAAGGTGGGACAGACTGCGCCAGTTACATCAGTGTTGTGATGTGGACACCTGCCCACTAGTAGCTGGACTGAGATCAGAAATATGAATCATACTTGGTAGTGTCACAGCTAGTCACTGCAATATTTCTTTCCCAGTGACTTTCACACTATCACTTTTGCATTGGATTGTGATGACTCTTTATATATCTTACTACAGGTTATGGGAGGTGAAGAGAAGGTTACTATTAGCTAGCTTACAGAGTCAGTTATTTGTAATGTGTCAAAATTAAACAAGGATGGCTCTCATAGTAGAAAATTGCTAACACAGGTCAGATCCTGCTAACTGCTCTATGCTGGTAGCCACTACAACAAAACCCCAACAAGATTAAGAGGACCACATATCAAAGCAAGATTCTGAATATTCTGAAAGAGTACCGACTATGATTTAAATTATTTGTCAAATATTTGTTATCTCTTTATCCTTCCCTCAGTAGTCATTCAGCAAATTAGGGTAGGGGGAACAAGTAAAATAAGCCACCTTATCCTACGAAGAATAAACACACCAGGTAACATACAGCCTGAGCCTTACTTTCACTAACATAGATAGAGCTAGGCACCTCTAGGAAGGGATGTCCAGAGAAGAAAAGAAAATACAGCAATACAGAGGGCAAAACCAAAAGCTTTTGAACTTCCTCAAGAAACAAAGTGTAGTTTTCATGGGGTGGGGTCTTGCAAGTATTATCAAAAAGTCACACCTCCCCTTTCCCAACTTCCTTTTTCACACCACGTCCCAAACATGTCCATTCTGGAAAATACTTAAATCACTTTAATTGTATAGAATTGCATCACACTGATATGCAAGTGTTTACCTTTAATTTGCTGTTGCTTTCTTGTACAATATTTAAAAATAGACTAATATTCTAAAAGAAGAAAGATGAATCATATGGCAAGGCTAAAAGGAAGGATGGAATAGGACTCAGTCCGACTAGGGGTACAGCTGCTCCACAAATATTTGGCTGAATAGCTGTTAAATATTCTGACAGAGATATTGGACCAGAGTCGTGGACAGCATTTAAGCTGCTATTTGTTTTGACAATTCCAGCAGTACAATCTTTGGTATGGTAGCTTTAAGGAGGTACCTCTTTCGTACCTGAATTGTACCTCAAACAATTTTAACTGAAGAAAAACAAAGCAAAAGCAACCCCGAGAATTTTCAAGAAACATCAGACAATAATTACTTTTTCACCGCATCGGATATTAGTAACAAACCAAAATTAATGCAGTGTCAGAATATTAGAAAACATATTGGATTATCTTCAGGAAAGAACCAGTTAAAAAAAGGTTTGGAAACACTTTAAAAAGGATGGAATAGAGGGAGAAGTTACTATAGAGGAAATCCTTTCAATAAACAGATGTTCCCTACTTATTTTTTGAACTCAAGTGACTGAGTCAATGGTACTAAAAATAGAACATATTGGTATCCTAACCATTATGGCATACCATAGTACATTTTATAATGGGCCTGCCCTAGCATCTATTGAACAGCTGCTAGGGTTTTTTTTAGTTACGCTAGTTTAAGACTTGTTTAAATCATCTGATGTGCACAACATCATCGAGAAAAGTTGAGAGCTTCAGTAGCTTGAAATTTTTCTGAGTTCCTAACTCTCTCAGGCTCCTCTGAAATTTTCAGCTGAAGTATTTAGCTTACAAAATCTAACAGAAATCTTCACAGCTAACTGCAAGCTTGTTTTCCACAAAAGGACAACAAAAAACCTTCCCCACAGCTTCTAGTGAAATAAATGACTGCATCAAGTCAGTCTGTGTTTCACTGTTGTCAAAGTAACGACCACAACAATAACGACACAAACCACTTGGTAAAAATGAAACACATTTAGATTTCACACAAGGGGAAAGCAAATGACAGTCATTCTCCTCCTAAAACTTTTTTGAGGATGTTTTCAGAAAGTCAAGAGGAAAGATATAAACTCTTGCATTTTCTTCCAAAAGTATCACTATTGCCCTTACAAGTTTGAATACTGGGTGTTACACAGGAGATTAGAAAAAAAATCACATTGGCTTTTAGTCTTAAAAATCTCTGACTCTGGAAATCAGAAACAGTGAAAATGTCTGAAATGACAAAGAAAATATTCTGAATAATATCTCCTGAACTCTCAGTATTTGTTCTTTTATATTCTACATCTCTTTAACTAGACTACAGAATTCACAAATATCTATTTTTCTCCTTTTATCAATTTATTATTAATATTTAATTAGTGCCTAGATTGTTATAAGGAATGACTGATACAATCAAAAATCCCCTTTATAGTAAAGCTAGTGGCTTTACTGTACCACAAAGCACTGAAAAAAACTAGGCTGATTCTTCACCAGGTAAAATCAGCATCTCACCCCTGTGGTCACTATTTTACTGCTTCCTTCCCTGTCACTTGTAAAGAAAAGGATTTCTAATTCAAGCCGGTTGTCAAAAACATACTTTGTTTACAAATAAAAATATATTAAAAAATCAGAGACTACAACTTGCTGCACCTGAAAATGAGTCAAGATTTTGATCAAAAGAAAACAAGAAAGGAGGAAAAACATACGTGTGAATGTTACATCCCAGCAAACTCAAGAGCACTAACCTGTGCTGTGAAAGAGACAGATCAAGGACTTCATCACAGCCACCTAAGATAAAGTATCTGTTGCACAATTTCTAAATGAGTAGCACTTCCTGGTTTCCTATAGACCCCAAAACTAATTTTGAAGGTCTATATGTAAAAGTGCACTAAAGCTAAAGACCTGTACCCTAATTACAAGACGAACTCTCTGTACATACAGTCGACGGTTTTTAACCAAACACTTGGTTCATGTGTATGGAATAGTTTGACTTTCATGTTTGTTTCGTTAGGTTCATACATTTGCTGTGTCAGTTACTGAAAACTGTCATAAGAGAGAGCATCTGAGGGGGGGTCTCTGGGGAAAACACTTCCTCCTTTTGCTTTCCATCAGTTAGGCTGAGGCAAAGTACCCTTCTATGTCAGAGCCAGATCTCTGACCATTCCTACAGCAAAACGAACAACATAAGAAAAGGACAAGCTTCCTAAGCATGTTGCCCAGCCAACGCATCTTCATGCTGAAATGCCATGATGGGCAGCTTTGTATAAGGCCAGCAAGGCTAAACTGCTCAACTTTCACTGTCCAGGTGAGCTCTTGTCTCTCTGCTGATAGTGCCTGTTAATACAAACGTGAGATGGGCTTCCAGTGTGTGGTAGAGAGATCCACACAAGCCACACAAGCTAATTTAGAAGCCTGAACTCTATTATAAAGACTGATTGTCTCCATACAAAAGGCTTACTACTTATCAGCGATGCATCCACTCCCCTGATATACGGTAATGTTGCACATTTAAGCATGAATCATGCTTTCTGGAAAGCTTCACTTATTTAATCATGTTCTGGCCTTCTGGAGATTTCAATAGCCCAGAACTCCATCCTGTAGATGAACGAGTGAAATGCCTCACACCTCGCTGTCTGACTGACACAATGTCTGGTACAATGAAGTGTAACACCCCAGTCTCTTCCTATGCAGCTGCTCCATTCAGCTGAAATGTGGGCTATGGACAATAGTTAACGAATAAATAGTTTAAGAACAACATGTGATTTACTTGCAGTATAAATTTGCAAATTACAGTTTCTCTAGGATCTTTGCAAAGATAGACAGAAATAGAACATAAAAATTTAAATGTGTTGAAAGCACATTAAGGTTGCTAAATCAAGCACTCAAAATTTAGGAAATGCCAATCACAGCTCTGCTTCCTTGAGTAACTGAGTTATGATCCAGTCTTTAATTATACAATCAGGTACTATTTTTTTCTCCCACATGCGTGGGCAAGTGTATTCAGATCTCTTCCTCCTGAATTAAAGAATTAAATTGGTAACATAAGTAGGCTGTTATCCTGTAAGTGGATCAGCCATTACACAGGAAAAGTGCTCAAACTCAACTGCAAGCACTGCAACTCGCAGCAGGACAACACTGGCAAATTGTGTACCGGGGTCCAGTCTTGGCCCTCGGAGAGCAGTGAGATCCAGCAGCTCCAGCCCTGGTTACTGACAGACAAGCATAGACTCATCAAATCCATCCTGGAAGGCTGTGTGGCTAAGTGACTGAGACTTGGCACTGCTGCGTGAAGCACCCAGGCTTCTATTCACAGCCCTGCCTGACGTGACCTTACACAACCTTGCAGTTACCTCACTTGTAAAATAGTGGGGAATGGTCACTGCCTGGCCCAGGAATAGGCTATGAAGGCTTGCTCAATAATAAGAGTTGTGGACCTCTCAAAAATAGAAATGGCCCATAACAGAAGAGAGAAGAGCAAAACCCTCCTACTCCAGATACATTCACCTAAGCCTAAAGCATCCTTTGATGAATGCACAGCCACCATCCCTTTGAGGGTATTTCACCTAAGTTCCTGTCTATTTCCCAAAGATCAAGCCACTTACTTGTAGGTTGGATGTAGTTTTAGGAAACTAGCTTTGTAAATTTTAGCTATGTATTTTAGCAATCCTCACTGGTTTTAAACCAATACATTATCTGCTGGAAAGCCTCTGTTGCCATTAGAATCAAAATGAGGACAGAGTAAGGATTTGAAGGTTGCTATTGAAGAAGCAACCATTGCAAAACAGTCTTGCATGATCAACTATAAAAGCAAAAGATTCTTCATGGTCACTAGGACAACAAAGGCATAAAGAGGAGTAAAATATTACACTGTTCCACTGTCTGTCAGTTTCTTTAGAAATATTTTGCCTTTGTCATCAGTGATTTTTCTGGAGAGTGCTATCAGCGGTAGACTAATTTCAGACAAAAAAAACCCTACTAATAATTTCAAAACCAGTCATTTATCACCACATATCAGTAGCAGAACTTTTGAGCTAGATTCAAGCTTTTATTCTAGGAGGGAAGAGAGCGAAGAGATGTTCACCTATAAATTTTCCCTTAGAACTATTACGCAAAACAAATCCATGTGTCTAAATTTAATAAAGTTCCTGTTACAACCATTTTATCTTAATATGTTCAGTAAACAGGAGTTAGTGATATAAATTAGGACATATTGAATTTCATTGGTTTAATTAAATTGGTGTTGATAAACTGCAATGAACTTTCTATTTGGGAACATTTATTTAAATTTTGGAACACTATATTCAGTTTAACTTGCATTAGTTTCCAAGTGATATAAGATGGACCCAAACAGTATGTTTCAAATCCGTTAATTTAAAACAGTACCTGAAGTCAAACTGGTGCAATACGGTGTGCAGACACACCCTGGGAAACCTATGTTTGACGCCAGCTCAGTGAACTTGAGTAAAAGAGCCAAACATAGATATCTATATATACAGGAATACGAGATACACAATAAAACTGTCGTCTTGTATAGCACCTGCTGATGAGCTGCTCCTGAGACTTTTAAGGAAATGGTCAGCCTACTTTCACATTAAAAATACTGTACAAAGCTGGCCAGGATTTCAGTGGCTGATGAACACTGATGTCAGTCAGTGCTGACTGACAAATAATGTAACACAATTAAATTGTTTCTTGCACACTCAGGATAAGCCAGCTCCGGTCTTGCAGGTCAGTTAACACAAAGTAATCTCTTCTCATGAGTTGAGAGCAGTTTCTCCTTTCGCTGCTCCTCACACCCACTGCTTGGTTACAATCCTAGCCAGTGAGATAATCACCACCCAGAAGAAACATTCCATTTCCCCTTTTTATATCTAGTTATGCTGCCAGTTCCTCCTAGTAAGCAGTTGTATGGCCCCCGGAAGGAGAATGCAGGCTTTCTTGGTGAAATCTGTCACTGTGCCTTTCAAGTGAGGTAAAATTTAAAGAAAAGCCTAAGTCAGACAGATTCCCTCACCACTTAGCCCAGGTGAAGAACTTTTTGTATATAGTCCAGCAGTACACGAGCCTCACCTGATGCTTTTCTACCACACTTACAGCAGGTAGCTCCTGTTTGAAGTGAAAATAAATATTCTTGTCAAAGAGAAAAACAGATTAAAGAAATATAAAAAAATGAGAAAAAAATACCCAATCAAGTATGGAATACCTAAAGCTCTATGTGTTAAATGATTTTGCAACTCATCATTAAAAAAAAAAAAGTGTTAAATACTTATTTGTACTCTCTTAATTCAACTATAGTTTTTCTGGAAATTTTCAAACCTGATAAAAGTTTATTTCCTTTGTCTTCTTTAAATATATCAAATATAAAAACCACGTTCAGACATACCACTAAAGGCAAGAGTGGAATTATTGTGACGTGGTAAAACAGTATGCTGGTTTAGACCTCTTGATAGCCCCCAAGGGGATGTGATGCGGAGGAGAACATGGCACTCACTTTACCGATTGCTATTTAGTTTTATCAGCACTCACAGAGATTCTGGATTGCATACTGTAGGAACACTTGTATATATACAATGAACAACGCAAAATTATGGAAAAGTTAACAAAACGTTACAGAAAAAGGATTACCTTTCTGTAAAGGAGTTTATTTCTCTAAATGTTCAGAGAGAGGCTGGAATTATTAGCAGGATAGAAAAGCAAAAAATAAAATATGATGCAATGCTAAGGAAGCCAGGCTTCCTGCCTTTCATGTCCTCTTCTTCCAAGCTATTCACAACCTTGTCATTTCCTACTGCCGTCTCTTGTCACAAACTACTCTACCCTCTTTGATTTTCCCATGGTCTCAACTTTCCCTAACTTGTTTTCATAGGCATTCTTTTTCCATAATTCATAAGAGCACTTCCCTTTCTTTTACTTCTCTCCTGAAGACCTATCTTTGCCATAATTCCTGTAAGAAATTTACCATGCTACTATATCGTGCGATGAGAATGATTCCTTATTACTTTCTGTAATAAAAATGTAATTACCAGATTATTTTAATTTATGAAGAAAAGGCACATAGATAGCCACATGTGCTTCTTTATATTCCTTGTACCAATCTTTCTGTGTCACATGTTTATGAGCTGAAATTTATATGTAATATAATGAAGATGTTTGTTTTTAAATTCCCTTGCTTAGGGAATGAGATTCTATTTCAGGCTTGTAGTTGCAAATTAATATTAAACAACAATTAGCTAGGAATGATAACTCATATTCTAAAATATTTTTAAAATGAGAAAATTGTGCTCAAGCTGAGACTCTATTCACACAAAGCTCAGGAAGCAGCCTCACACGTTATCCTGCAATGCATATCATTCCATAAAGCACTCATCAGCAGTGGGTTTCAGTTATCATTATCAGAGATCCTTGTACTTCATGCCATAAACACATCTCAGCCCTGACTCCCTGCACTCACCTTTAACAAAAGCATAGCAAACTTTTTCGGGGGGATGTTTCCCAGCTTCCGATTTACTTTATTTCATTCTGACTTTTACTGTTTGGCAACAGCTCTCTAGACTTTAGTAATATTTAAGGTGCAAACTAACAATATTCGTCTATTCCAAAGGCCAAAGGGTCCATGTATGTACAGGGTGTTTGTAGAAATTAATGCTCAATCAGCACTACCTGACAGGATAAACGTCAATGAAATTTCTGCTGCTTTTTCAGCGAAAATGCCATGTGGGGCATCCGTTTCCCGAAACCTTTCACCAAGCTGGGCACGTGCAGCTCTTTACAACCTTGCTCCTGAAGGGAAAGTCTCTTCCTGCTCTAGCCTCATCCTCAGTACAAAACATCCTTTTACTCTTCTTGTTTTAAAATTCCTTAAAAATCAGACATATGCATACGCAAGTAAATTCGATAGTTAATTACAGTCCTAAGTATATTCTGCAAACCACCGAAAGAAAGCTAAGATCTAAACTATCAGTCTAGTGGTTTTAGTCTAATAAAATTGTTAATGAAAACATTAAAAGTTATCAGACAGGAAAAGTGATCGCATGCTATCACTCCGGAAAAAGATCCACCTATAACACTGGACTTCATTTGATATTGTAAACACTGGTAAGAACACGTAAAATTTAAAAGCAATTATTTCATTGTGGTTTACTCCATAAGTTAAACTGTACCTGGGGAGTCATTCAGGCTGAAGGCAATTCGTACTTGCTTATCAGCAGGTACCCTGGCGGTGGTGATCATGTGGGCACTTGAGTCAATGCTTTTACTTGTTTGTTCCAGCTGCAATAATACAAACAATATATTTATTACAGAGCATGTGACACCATTCAACAAATGAGTTTTAATGCTTTTCATGCATTCACAACCACCTTTCTCATTCTAGCTAAGCATTGTTTAGAATCAAAGTCAAGGGAGCGCCATTTCACTTTTCCCTTTACAAAGGAATCAAGTGAAATTCAGTGCAGAGACTGCCTTTCTTTTGCTATTATCAGATTAGAAAGAATGATGGCAAAAGAAGCGTTCCCTCTCCTCACCTGCTTGCTCCCCGCCATTGCCCCTTCAGCAAGCCTTGACTCGTGGCAATGCTGCCTGGTTCTGAAGGTGAAGAAGGAAGAAGGGGTGGGGAGTTGAGAGTAACATGACCCCAAGCCTGCCATGTGATTGGAAACGTGCACACCACTCCACGTGGTGCCAATGAGGAGGCACCCATCCTCCTACCTTCCACCCATACTCCCCCAGTCAAACTGTGCCTGATAGTCACAGGCTTCATGGTCAGAAAGTTACTGGGTCTCCAAACCTTGGTGGTGATTCTTCAGTGGAACTCTGTGCAGGTGTAGGGGTCTGTCTGCATGGGCTTGACTCCTGGATCAGGACCTTATTCAGTCCTCGGTCTTTCTTCTGAGACCATCAATTCCAAAAAGTGGTTTTACTGAGATGAAACCCTGTCCAGTAAGAAAACTGCTAGTTCATTTCAAGCAGGGCACTAAAGAATTGTTGATCAACAAAAGAATTATCTACTACTGATCTGTAATAGTACAATTAAAGCATCTCTGAACACTCAAAAGTTGTACTCGGAGCTCTACTATGTATATTTAACCTTTTGAATGAATAGTTCTGGTTAAACTTTATCAAATAGCTGAACACAAACTTAATCTCCTTGTACATCTAGCACAAAGCTGCTAAAATTCACAGATATTAATCTTCTGATTAGCTCTGTGCGTGGAGAACATGAAGTCAGCGGGACTTCAAGCACGCAAAAGATCTGCCCATAAAGAAATTATTTTAGGACTGAAGACTATGCTATCCAGAGTGCATTGTTTCCATACCAACTATGTGGACAATTGTAAGAGTAGATTTTAAATTACCATAAAAACTACTCAGTCAATAAGAAATCAAATTCTTCAGGAAAATACAGTGAATTTACTAAAAGTTGTACCACATGTCAGTAGACAACACAGCATTTAGCTAGTGAAAACAAAAGCCAGTTTCCTAAGTCAATAGTCTTGTAGTTTTTCAGTAAAGTAGCTATTGTATTGGATGGAAATCCCAACAACTCATTCTAATTTACACTTAATTATTTGGCAGTCTCAGAAAGTCAATAGAATAGAACAATATTTCAGGATTATAATCTTCCTTGGTGATGCACAAATGAATCAAACACTTCCATGGCATCACTGCCTTGAGATCAGTGGAAGAGTATCAAATTTGCATTTGGTCCATTAATTTCAGCATTTCTTTTTTATTTGCTTTTCCTGTCTTAGTATTTAGCTAGCAGAGTGATACAGTTAATCTGTAGCAATGCTACACAAGAAATTATTATTTGAAGTCTATAAGCTTTTCTTAAAATAACAATAAATAATCTAAAACAATTACTTTGAATAAATCCTATTTCAAGCTGAGAGTGTCTCTTTCTACTAATACATGAATGATATCAGGAATCATTCTTTATTCCTCATTACTAATAACCAAGACACACAAAAATTGAACTGGTATCTATTGGGCAGAGACAAAGAAAAGTCAACTAAACTACTGCAGTGTATGTTTTTGGACTCAGGAAAAGATCCCTGGAGTCAACAGAAATATTTTATTTTGAAGTACATTGCATTAGACTAAATAACTTTTACCTTCTGAGAATTATGGTTCTCTTTTTTTTCTCCCCAGACCCTCACTTTATAAGAAACATCTGAGATATCTCATCCTTTTTAAAAAACAACAGAACTACTAATCCGAGCTCTTTATTATATTTCCCTTCCATACCTCCAAATACAAGGTAAAGCAAAAAAAACCAACCAAACAAAAGAGATTTTAAGTGATAAAGGCTTAATGAACAAGGCTGTTCATTACTCTGTGTTGGTGGTACACACTCCCCTGACATCTGCTTACTATCTAAAGTGGTCTTCCACATAAGAGTATACTTAACATTTCGTATCATAGCCCAAGAAATTAAAATTATGCATTCTGCTAGAGGTTTTAAAATTCTCATAACAATATTGCTAGGAGCAAATCTGTTGTCTTATCCCAGTCACATACTCTGTGGTCTGCGATGTCTTTAAATTACCTCTTTTAACCACTTACTATGTGAGGGCAAAAATCAATACCCCTTCAATACGCAATGGTGAGTTCTACCATAACAAAAAAGAGTGTTTTCATTTTATTCCAATCCACGGAAAGAAATCTCATCTTTATACGCAAGAATTACCCTGCTATTCTTTTTTTTTATATATATACTGCATTTATCCCTTCACTCCTTTGTGCGGAATCCTCAAGCTCTTCATCACAAAAAGCAATCAAAGAGAACAGAGAGGGATGGAAGCAGCCTGGTTGCAAATGAAGTGATACAGGAAACACGCAGATCCACTGCCCCCAATTCCCCACCTGCTTTCTCCATGCATGAAGAACAATATCTCTGTAGACAGAGATGAGGGTGAGTGGGCAACCTGGAATTTAACGAGATTTAATGAGCAGCTCTTCCTTCACAACAATTGCCTATAGAACTGGCTGCTGTTTCTCCATAAAAAATCTGCAGCAGAACTCAGATTAAGTGCTGTTACAGCTCTATCAATTTAGTTCAGTTTTCACACCTGTTGCCTTACCTCACTTAGCGGAGTGTCTGCACTTGTATAATCCAGGGCCAGCCACTGCCTTGGCTTGTCGTTGCCTTTATGGAGTAAAGCTTCAATAAAAGAAAAGGCTGCACCTGCTGCATAGCAACAAACTGACAAGGTCTGAGAAGCTGAGACAGCTGTCAGGGCAACATGCTGCTACCTGCACTTCCCATAGGCTTTGCTGTCCCAAAAGATCACCCTTTTCCGCTTTTCTCCACAATTCCACTTTTCCTTCCTCTCCTTGCCAGTGACGAGGGAATATGATGCTGTCACGCTTCAGGGAGGAAAAAATCCTTCTGTCACAGGCATTATTAAGCAGCAAACCGTGGCGAGCCCAAGATTTTTAATTCATTAGTCCTGGCAAACCTAAAATACAAACAGACTTGCTTCATAGGACAGGAATGTTTTCAGCATGACCCAATCAGTGTCTGTGTCTATTCCAGCAAACTGGCAAAGATAGCATGACTCCAGTCAGCAAAAATGTCTGCAGCTCCAATCAGCTTGGGCTGACACTGCCAACTTGGACCGGCTACAAGCGAACTATCGAATGATAGCAGCGGCTATCAAAGCTAACAACAAGGGATGGGCTTGGCGTGCTGGGCTAGGTTCTTCTTGGCTTTGGCCAAGCTGGGCTTGTCTAACAGCAGGCGATAGCCCTGCACTTCTGAGGAGGCAACGGGCAAGTTTCAGAACGCGTACGCTGTGAAGGCAGATGTATTTATAGACGAGCTGGTGATGGCAGTGATAGCTGAAGCTGACTAATTCAGAGATTTGACTGAACTCAAGAGGATTTCCTAGTGCGATTTAGGATAGCTTTTGTCAGTTTTCAAACCACAGGCAAGCAATTAATAGATAAATCTTGAAATGTCACAAGAGAGACGAATTTCTTCAGCTTAAACTTTTTTTTTTCTGTGGCTGTGTCACACAAATGTACTGCCTACTTGACTTCTTCGATTGACTGTTATCACAGTCATTAAAACAAATGGAGAAAAATGGAGAACAATTACAGAATGATTACATAGAATATCTTTATTGTTCTGTGCTTGAAAATGGGGTTGTCCTCCTTTTATATTTCAAAATGTATTTTGAAGGTATATTTTGTATTTTCAAATTCCAAACGGAAAAGGTTTCTCTAACCCAGATGTCCTATATAGCCACATTACTAGATTCTTTTGGCTCAACTGAGATATAGAGAGGTTGCAGGACAAATAGAGATGTGAAGGTCTGAAGTCAGATTTTCATCTGTCCTCACCCTCTCACCTTCTGGCCCTAGCCCAGGATTGATCTAATCAGTGCAAATCTCAGGAAGCCAGCAGTTGCCCTTGTGGCCTCAAAAGACCTTTTTCATACTTCGAAATGACCAAACTGCAAAGATATTCTACCCACACTGCCTTTCCCCAGCAGTGATCCGGGAGTGTATCAGACAGCTACACTATTGGTTAGGTATCTGGAGAGGCCATCTTTTTAACTGCAGTGTGATTTCAGTGCAGACTACGGACTCTCGCCCAAAGAGTTAGTGAAAAGCAGGTCTGCACCTCTGACTACACTGAGCATTTTTTCTTCTCTTGATGTCTTTCTGGAAAGATTGAGGGTTCCTCCTTATATGTCTCCTTTGGAATGAGAGGGAGAAAGATTGGCTCTGATCACAACCATTATTGCAAATAACATTCTACAGCTCAATACCATCAACAGTTGATATTGATCTCCAGTTCCAGGTCCAATTACTGTGAAAGTACTCATTGGAAGATACAGAAAATCCTGGCTCCATTGAAGCCACTAAAAATATTCTGCTTCAGTTTCCAAGGAGCCAGGGTTTCCCCCAGATTGTAAGAGCCTCTTCTGCCTTGTTTGGGCTGATGGTATTTAGATGGTATGAGTGCCTACATCACATGCCATTGCAGCATAGCCCAAAAAAGCCTCTCTATGTAGAATCTTAAAACATGCAAAATCTTCAATAGCCATGACAGCAAGGGTCTTGGACAGAAACAACGGCTGGATAGCCCAGGGCTGTTTTTTTCAGATGGCTCTGACACCCCACATTTCCAGACCGACATTTCAGTTGTACTCAGTTCAAATAGTATGTGCACTTGAAAACTGACTTCACAATCCTTTTATGTTTTGCATCCACTGAATACATGGTTTTTTAGATGTCAGTGTTTCTTGTTAAATCTGTGTTATTATACACACTTTACAAAAGAAGGTGGAATCACCTGTGCTTCACTTGGTATGCACACTCCTCTTCTAAGGGGTGTGCTGCTTCCGAAAGCTGGGAATCATGTGCTAAGAAACCAAAACTACACAAACCAAAAGGCCCCTGATTTGCATTTAAATATCAGTTCCGTGCTTTTCACAATGATTAGTCACCTGAAACTACTACTTTGTGGAAGGTAGCATATACCTGAAACTACTACTTTGTGGAAGGCAGCATATATTTAAAGTGTGAGAATATTATAGCATTCTGTATACAGAATATTAAATCTGAAGCATCAGAATGAATGATTTGACTGTAATCGTTTTATCATCTATTTATTATTGGGGCTATGGTGCTAAAACCCCCAGCAATATAGATTTAAACTGCACATTTTAAAAGGTTCTCTAAATTACTTTATAACAATAAACTAGGGAAGATCTCGATTTTAAACAACCGGGAAATTGAAGTCCACTTCCGTGACTTGTTCAAATTAATAGCCGAAGGCATTGTAAATTTTGGGTGGAGATAAATCTCACTTCTCTGATTCACTAAGTAGTAAGCCTAAGAAAATAACTCTCCCATTTATTGCAACACAAAAAAAAGCCTTCTTTATAATGGGCTGCACATACACCTTACAGTCATCTCTGTGAAAATCAAGAGAATGCTGATAACTTCAGGTTTTTTTTTGTGCAGCAGCAATCTGCCCTGTTTCCTTTCCAGTGTACTCTTAGTCATCAGATGTCTGGTACCCAAGCAAAATTCTTTCAATCCTGTATCACATTATGAAACTGGTGATATGCTAGAAGAGGATATAATGATTTATTCATCAAAAACACCTTAAAGGAACATACTCTAAATTAGGAACACTAGGACTTACTGATATTCAGTAGTAGAAACGTGCAAATTTGTAACAATTTTTAAGGATTCGTTTTTAATTCTACAGATGTAAAAAAAAGCCAATATCTGCTATCTAATAAAACACCTGTTGCCTTCCCTTTTTTAGCTGTGCTGCTTTCAATTCATCTCAGTTTCCTAGTATACGTAGTATTTTAGTAGCATATGACCTCATTTGTGCTAAAATGGTGTTTCACAGATTGCCAGTCGCTATTTAAAAATACACTTTAAATATTTTACCATATGGAAGATGTTTGAAGGAGAAATTAAAAAAAAATTATTTGCCTAAAACCACATACAGAGTAAAATCTCCATTTTATAGATTCTTCTGAGTATGAAGAGAATCTCATTTTTGACAATTCCTGATGAACTTATTTCTGCAGCAAAATTTGTTAAAAATCCCAGTGTGGGAGGGATTTGGTCCCCTTTATTGACATGGGGGCTGATTAGAGTGAAGCTGCTCCATGCTATGGAGAATCGATTTTGAAAGCATAAACATTGGTGAGTCATGTCCTTTAACTCCACATTATCTGTAGAATTTCCAATACTGCTTGGATTGCACGGCTCAGAATTTGCCAAATATTAAAAGCTAGATAGTATATCCCATTTGTCTGCTGTGGTAATTGAATAAGTGCCCTCACACATGCCACAAAAGTAGAAATTTTGTGTTGACTTGGTCTCTTCTTGCAGTTCATAAGGATAACCATTTCAAGTCTGCATGGAACTGGGTAGAGAAGTGTTTTTTCCTACAGCAGCAGTTATCCTAGATGAGATCAGAACATCCAATACGATGTATTTGAATCACAATTATCCCAGCCAGAAAACCAGAACCAGAGAATAAAACTTATTTCTTGTCTTCCAGATAAAGGATAGGTGTAGATCAAATGCACATTATTTAGTCTTGTTGCACCTCAATCAGAACCTAACATCCCAAGTCCTGACAACTGCAGCAGTCAGCAGAGTACTTCATTACTGTACTTAGATACAACTTTCAGTCTCTTTGCCTAGGTAGTATTTTAATACAGTCAAAATAACTCACTTTCCCCCATGCTCTATACTCATAAAAGGCTGAACTCTATCAGACGAAATTAAGACATTGAAATCAGCATGAAACATACACTAAGCACTGACTTAATAATAGCACATAAGAAACTTTATAATTAATGGCAAATTGATATGCAACAAATGAATACACTTATAGAGGATCATACTTATATAATGAAGGAGATTGTTGCAGAGCAATTTAAAAATTGCCTCAGTCAACATAATGTGAAATTACAGGAGTTGACTCAAAAATTTTTACACCTGCCTTAAGACCATCTGGAAATAACTGCATCTTGAATCATTTGAAAGCCTGACTGGTGAAAAACTCCATTGCTTCCCCAGCAACATCTAGACAGAAGTTGTGGGAAGCTAATGCTGCTGAGAGGAAGAAAACTGAAGCCTTTGGGACATGATGCTGCCAAAGAGCCTTGCATGCCTCTTGCATGGAAAATAAGATGAAAGTTGAAGTTAGAAATATTACTGGAAAAGCCTTACTGTTGTCAGAAGTCAGCAGGTGCAAACTTAAGCGCTTCATTCACATCAGCATAGAGATGGAAATAACCTTTAGAAATAAAATTACGGAAGAATGGTGGCACGTCATCACAACAGGGAACGATGAAAGAGGATATGGATTGACAGCGTGCAGCAATTCACTGGGAGATCAGGAGCCAAATGTTCAAAGCTAGCATTGACTAGCACTAGCTAACTGGAAACAACAGGACTTTCTCACAAGCACTTAAACACAAATGTATCAATTTTGCTTACCAATTGTGCCACTAAACCACATCCAATTGTCCTGGGATAGAAAGATAGTTCTCTCATATCTGTGTAAAATTAGAGTAATCACTCCATTTCAACTGGACTTGCCATTTCTTAAGGGATTGCTTAGATTACCTTACTTAAGAACTTACCTTAAGAGGATATTACAAAACTTTACAGCCTTACTTGTTGATGATGGCTGAGGTCATCATGCTCTCATAGATACATGCACAAGACTTCTAATTCAACACACTTTTTTGTGAAAGGTTTGCTGCTATAAGGAGGAAAACAGCATCCAGAAGAACGTGGTGAAATCCCCAGCAGCAGCTGGTATTCTGCCCATCCTCAAAACTGCTCTGCTGATTCAGCACTGAAACTGCCTTAGTTCATAATGCCAGCTGCAAAGATAGAGGAAAAGTTTAGAAACAATAAATGCTAGAATACTTATTAGCAAAAACTTTTCATTACT